CACATTAAGTGATGTATTTGTATGATGCATCTTGCACATTGCAAATGTATGCATATTATGAATGTGTCAGCATGCTTTTCGATGCACAAGGGGTGTTTTTACAATGATCTGTTGTGCAAATAACTGTCGTTGAGCAGTGCGTAGAGTTTCATTTGGGAATTTATAAATGTCTTTTGTCCGCTTGTGTGCATGTTGTGGATCCGGTGGCATTGTTTAACAACACATTGAGTTTCATTTGTCATGCTTCGACAGTGTGGTTTTGCTCATTTGTCATCAGCTTGTTGTTATCTTCGTCAACATTCAACTTGCAGGAGTGTATTTCTGCCGGCAGATACGCTGCATGACGCATCAGAAGCCTTCCATTTGTCATTTGTAAGTAAACTAATCTATCTGGCGTGACAGTTTGACGCCGCAAATCTAATGCCTCAATTTACCAGTGGTCCGTAGTTTTTACGACGAATTCTCTGCTTCTGTTTACAGGTGAATTATAATATTTCTCTTTGGGGCGCTCGTTGTCTCTTGCAAATGAGTTATTGTACATTGCAACCTTTGTTTAACACTACTTGTGGTTCAACATTGTGTACTCAAGGCTAACAGTTGTTGCATCATGTTCAACTGGGTGTGCGAATGGTTGAGGGGTTCGATAGCTCTGGGCTTCTTGTGCGAGGAAAGAGGAGGGATCTATTATCGAAATCGAATATGGAAGATGTGAGTGGTCTCGGCTATGGTGTTTGAAAGGGTGATGGGATGCAGTTGTTGATGGCTTGAGGCACGGGCTATGGAGGCGGTTGGGGATCTCTAAGCGGGATCGAAAGCTGAGGTTTCTTGGCAAGATTAGATTGGTCGGAGGTAGCCATAGGGAGTCGATCATGCAGCTGACGGGCTAGGTGCGGCTTGTTGAAGTCGGACGATTGATTGGAAAGGATGGCTGATCGGGTGAGACGTTGGTTTGCAGATGATCGAGCTCGGTCAAGTTCAAACGGGGAAGAGGTGTTCGGCTAGAGAAGGATGGGATTGGCGAGCTGTGGGATTCGGCACAGTGAAGCCGAAGAGGCTAGGAATCAAGAGTAGTTTGGGATTTCCAGCTTGTAGGGAATGGAGCTCTCGTGTGAGGAAGTAGAAGGTCGCTCAAGTGCTGGTGTCTTGAAATCAAAGAAGAGTGAAGGCTTCATTCGATTTGCTTTTAACGACGACAGTGGAATGTCGTTGTCTTGAGCAGGAGCGAGATTTGAGTAGAGATCATGAGAGATGGGACAGTTTGGTGCATAGTGTACAGTGAATGCGTCGTCAAATTATAGGGATTTATACAGGATTTTAGCATAGATAAGGGATAATGTGGCATCTAATTTTATTTTTTATTATATATATATTTTTATTAAGTCCATAAGTCCTTATCTTTTTTGCTTTAGTTATGGATGTTCTCACTATACATTGGCAAGAGGATTTACCTGGGTGTATGCTTTTAATTATAGTGAATTTGGGTATTGTTGATGTTTCGAATGCAACGACGAATTCTATTTTATGATCGGACGTCATTTGGGTAGCGTCGCGCGTCGATTTTGGGTGTTGGTCGCTAATTTTGACTATTCTCACTCGATTCGACTGTGAGGTGCTCCCTCTCAAGTAAATTCGAAGCTCCAATCAAGGCGTCACAGTCTGTTTGATGATCGGAAGTCATTTGATCATTCAAGTGGCGCATCATGCTTGCCGACTATCGCTCTAGTCACTAAATTTACCTCTTTTACTCATGCTGATTTGACATACATGGAGGTCAGCATTCCTCTTCTCTCAGTGTGCCTTGAACTGAGCAGTCTTTACGACCTTCTCAGTAGACCGACTTCAAGACCTGCACTTTGATTTGCTCCGAGAATGTTCAGCCTTGGAGGGAGTATGAGCCTCTTATCCCTTACTTCCTTGATCACTGCGCCATCTGGACCAGGAAGCACAAATTTGTCATCCTCATAGAACTTCTGAACACTAAGGGAGAGAAGAGTGGAAATGAGAGAGCTCTCTGAACCTTACATGATACTCCATATTGACTTTGCACGCAATTTTTAAATTTAACTTATAGTTTATTTTTATGATCATTGAATGATAAATATTGCTTTTTTTATTTATTTTTCATATCAATCATTGCTAATATTCTTTGACTTATGACACTTTACCAAAATAATTAAACTTGCTCTATTAATTTTGTATTAGTATGTTCAACTCTTTAGGAATCAAATAAATCATATCATTTAGAGAAATCTTTCAAGTTATTAATCCATTTTAAAAAATATTTAAATATCATATCTTCATCGAAAGTAAGAATGTAACTATGAGCTTCATAGTAATCGTATTGTTATTGTTTTGAACCATAGCTTCCCAAATTCATTTGAATTTCTTCATTATTATTATTTTTATTAATGTAGTTATTATGGCATAATTTTAGTAAACATGATGATGCAACCATAAGATCTAATGCCAAATTTGAAACAAGAAAGTAGGCATATTAGATCCTAGGTTTTTCTTAATGAAAATTATGATGTAATTCACAAGATCACCAAAAAAAAAAATCCACCTATAATTAGTTGATACGGGAGGAGACCGGCTCAGCTAACAACAACAGAGGTTTCGTCCCCCCCCCCCTGCGATGGCGCCCACCAAACCTATAATTCCATATGCAAGGAAAATTTTGAAGGAAGGAATTAATGTGGGGTTTGAATTAGGAGAGGGAGATATGTAAGGAAATTTTCCTAATTGTGTTTAGATTATTTAGGAAAACTTCCTAATTGGTTTTATTATATGTTAAAAAGATTTTAATTATTTAGGAAAGCTTCCTAATTGGTTTATTATATGTTAGAAAGGATTTATTTAGGGAGATTTTTATTAGGAAGCTTCTAAATATGTTTCTTATGTTTTATGGCTATTTAAGGGTAGTTGTCTAGGGTTTATGTTTTATATTTTTTGTTGGATTTTCTGCTGTAGTTTTTCTTGAAGGCTTCTAAGCGGCTTCTAGGTTATTTGAGAGAATTGATCTACCTCTTGAATTGTAGATCACCTGTATCTTGTTGTTCCTTATTGAAGTATTAATATAAAATCAGCCACAACTTTGGTTTTACTGTAATTTTCCTATTTGTTGTTTGTTTTTTATTTTTATTTCCTAGTTGTATCACATGTTTGATAGAAGTGTCTAAGCTGCTCTTCATGATAGAAGCCACTAAACTATTCTATTTAATATCCTATATATATGTAAAGAAAAAATGATCAAAATGATTTGATGACTCTTTATGAATGACCACTATATTAAAGGATTATTTTGTCCCTCAATCCCTTAAATAGAAATTAAAATAGTCTCACCATGGAACTATTTTGATTCATTTTTAAAGACTTAAAGGATCAAAATAGTCTTCTAATATAGTTGGGGATCATTTTGGTCCATCATGATGGAGTAAAGATGGATTATTAACTTGATTCCCTTAATTTTCTCTTCTTTAAATTGATGACCCCTTTTAAAAGATTTGGATTGAATTTTGGGTTTTTTGCTTATCTCCTCCTCTGGTGTAAAAAAATTTCTTGTCCATACTGCGTTGTGGCGTTGTAAATCTAGCATCAAGGCACTGTAGATCCCCTTTGGGATAAGGATCTTAGCGGCGCAAGCTGCGAACTCGTTTTGAGACAAATGAGTCGGCGCCAAAGTGACATGGGTTAGTTGAGTTAGTTTTCTCTTCGTTTTTAAAAAATTGTAACAAATTGGAGGGTTGAACTCTCTTGTATCTGCATCCAAAGACGAAGGTGAGTCTAAAGTGAAGAAGACAATCTGAGTGTGGACGATATGTATAGTTACTTGCATTTTTATAGCAGACTTCTTGGTGTGGGTTGGCTCCGTAGTTTTTTGAACTTTTTCGCGTTAAATTATGGTGTTATTTCTTCGATTTTTGTTTTCTTGATTGTTTTGTTCTTTGTTTACTCCCAACAATATTCAATTGTCATGATCCTCCTATCATATTCATATTATCATCATTAAAATACTACTCATCTTTCATGTTTGAAGTATTATTAGATGTCTCTTCGATTCAGGTAAGATGCTCACGTTATTATGTGGTGACTTAATGCAAAACACTCATTCAGACAAATGCCCTTGTAATGACACTCAAGGTGTGCGAGGTGCCTTAGATTTACCTCACCTCCTTAGCTTTACCTCACCTTTCCATAATAGGGCATAAAGTCAAGCAAGCTAGGCTTAGATCATAGAACATGATCAAGGAAGCAAATAGCAATATTTTCTGATGGTTTGCCGTTATTTAAAATATTCTGACTAGTTTTTGGTTTGGTGGCTTGTGCGGATTGTGACTGCTATTCATGGCATAAGCCAGTCACTATAATAGTGACTCACGCTTGGGCCTTTTTGTTAATTATGACCTTGTAGCGCACATATCTTGTCTTAGTTATTCTCACGCTCATGTTATTTGCTTCTGGTTTTTAATATAAAGTTCTGCCACTAATCTAATATATAGCAAACTAATAATCGCTATTTTTCAATAAAACATGGGTCTAAAAACAGTAAGAAGGGTTTTTTTTTTTCATAGTTTGTTTATTTTGTATAAAAATGTCTTTTAAATTGGAAATTTTGTTTATGCTCTGTTTATCTGACTTTATAATTCTCTCTTTGAAGGTTAAGGCTTTGTTTTTACTAACTTTTTTACTAAGAAAAACTACCAATGGATTTAAAAAACTGTATAATTTTCTTATCTGCTTGACTAAAAAAGTTATCTTAGGAAAATTGTTTTCGGAAAAAAAACAGAATAGAAATGTTCTTGAGAAAGTAAGCTGCAGCAAATGAAGCTCAAATGATCGTGAATTATTTATTTGTATGGTAAGTTTGCTGCTAACTGTGTAGCGGCTGAATTTTTATTGGTTGTTCCTTTATTTTGCACAGAATAAAAAAATGGTAGGTATTTCCTATATCTGATCCAACTGCAAATGCTTATTGGCATATATCTGACTATTGTTTGTAGGTTCCTGTAGGTAGGTCTACCCTCGGCCGTATCATGAATGTTATTGGAGAACCTATTGATGAGAGAGGAGAAATAAGTAAGTTATATGTGTAATTTTTGTAGCTTGAGATTTACAATTCCATTTTTATCATGCTTCGGTTTGATTTTATTTTCTTGAAATAAGATTGTAGGATGAGCTTTTCGAGCAGTTAATGTTCACCACATTGTTATCTGTCACATTTGCTCTTGATTTTTATTCCCTTTCAATCTTTATAGAGACCAATCATTTTCTTCCCATCCATCGTGAAGCACCTGCCTTTGTTGATCAGGCTACGGAGCAACAGATCCTTGTTACTGGTATTAAGGTACTAAATTTGACATTATTAGCAATCGCATTCTCTACACGGGTTTTTAAAATCTTGGAGTATTTCAATTAAGCCATTTATCCATCTCTGCCAAGTAATCCTTCTCTTTCTGATTTTTTAAGGTTGTGGATCTTCTTGCTCCTTATCAGAGGGGTGGCAAGATCGGGCTATTTGGTGGTGCTGGCGTAGGGAAAACTGTGCTTATCATGGAATTAATAAACAATGTTGCTAAAGCTCATGGTCAGTTGATAAAATGTTTCGTTATTCTTTTTTTTTTTTCTTTGATTGTCAAAGTTAAGTGCATTATTTGATGTTTTGTGGGTTAGGTGGCTTCTCTGTCTTTGCTGGTGTCGGAGAACGCACTCGTGAAGGCAATGACTTGTACAGGGAAATGATTGAGAGTGGTGTGATTAAGCTTGGAGACAAACAGGCAAACATTCATGTTCATATGTTTATCTCTTCTGTCTTAATTCAACCAGACATAATTCAGCTTCTTGTTATTAGGATGAGAGCAAGTGCGCTCTCGTATACGGGCAAATGAATGAGCCTCCTGGTGCTCGTGCTCGTGTTGGTCTAACTGGGTTGACTGTGGCGGAATACTTTCGTGATGCTGAAGGGCAAGATGTGCTTCTCTTCATTGATAATATTTTCCGCTTCACCCAGGTTGGTCCACTACCATGGATCATTCATATTACCAATTTGCTTTATCCGTTTTTTATCCTTATTTAGTTGAATTTTTTCAGGCAAACTCTGAGGTGTCTGCTTTACTTGGTCGTATTCCTTCTGCTGTTGGCTACCAACCAACTTTAGCCACTGATCTTGGAGGACTGCAAGAACGAATCACAACAACAAAGAAGGGTTCTATTACATCCGTGCAGGCCATTTATGTACCTGCTGATGATTTGACGGATCCTGCACCAGCAACAACTTTTGCCCATCTTGATGCCACCACCGTGCTCTCAAGACAGGTTTCCTTTTATCTACTTGATCTTCTTCCCTTACAAGCATCTATTCTTTTAAATAGATTAATTATGATGCATGCATTCTTTCTCAGTCATGATTTGTCTTTTTATATATGACCAGATCTCTGAACTGGGTATCTATCCTGCTGTGGATCCTCTGGACTCCACGTCTAGAATGCTTTCTCCCCATGTATTAGGAGAAGAGCATTATAACACTGCCCGTGGCGTTCAGAAGGTTCTTCAGAACTACAAGAATCTTCAAGATATTATTGCAATTCTTGGAATGGATGAGCTTAGTGAAGATGACAAGCTTACTGTTGCTCGTGCTCGGAAGATTCAAAGGTTTCTTAGCCAGCCTTTCCACGTTGCTGAAGTTTTCACTGGTGCGCCAGGGAAATATGTGGATTTGAAAGAGTGTATCACTAGCTTCCAGGTTAGAAAGAGTTTTGATACTGTAGATTGTACTATCATATAGTTTTAGAATTGTTGGTTTTATTTATATTAAGTGGTTTTTCAAAAGAAGAGAGTGGAGGTTTAGGGTTTAGTAAAATTGATTTTTTTTTTGCAATAGTAAATCAGAAGTGCATGCCTTTATTTTTATAATTATAATCTTGAATTGTTACATATTGGTTGGCAGGGTGTTCTTGATGGCAAGTATGATGATCTCCCTGAGCAATCATTTTACATGGTCGGAGGTATTGATGAGGTTATTGCCAAGGCTGAGAAGATTTCCAAGGAATCTAACGCGTGAGAAAAAGAAAATTTACAATCTGTAATAATCTGGAGGATACTGTTAAATTATTTTGTATCCAGAGGAGAGTGGGCACATTTTTGGATACACATAAGGTGTTCTTCGATTCTTCAAGGAATAAAAGGATTTCTTAAGTGGCTCATAGAACAAGAGCGGTAAAGAAATGATTTGAGAACCATTATGATGTTGTTGATGCTTATGAGATTCATTAAGATTATGCATAATTTAATGATGAGGCATAAACTAAATGAGGACTCTAGAGCAGGTGGCATATGATTATGAAGTTTTTGAAGATTCTAACATGCATAATTTTAATAAGGACTCTGGTGTGGGGGGGGCATACACTCGGTCGCTCATGAGATTTAGCGATAGCACCCGCATCAATGAGTTCAAGGAGAGATTAGGAAAGTTTTGCACTTGGGTTATTCTACAATGATGCATGGAGAAAAGTCATAACAAAGAAGCGGCACTTTATTTTATGATTATTATATGCCCATGAAGGCATATCGCATGTACCTCATCAGGTTTCAATCCATGGGGCTTAATTGGGAGCAGGCATGTGGTCAAAATAGTACTTAGCCATAGGGAGTCTTGCCCTATAGGGCAGTCGGCAAACGGCCACTCACCCCTATGGAGATAGTAGTACCTATACTTACCTTACAAGTTCAAACGCAATCACACAGGATATAATCGTCCTTAGTGTCGGAATTCAGAGAGCTTACTGTCGAACTGAGCGACTCGGAAATACGAACCTAACGACACCAAGTTCGACCCAATCCGAGCCCAAATGGGTCCAAATCATGAACCCGAAGCGCTGTTGGAAGGTTCAAACCACAATTTGAGTTACCAAACGGACTCCGATTTTGACGAGCTTATACTCTAATCGAAGGGCTCGACGAGACGAATCCAACGAGCCCAAGATCACTGAATTCCGACATCACTAAGGCATTCAAATGACCAACGAACGGTGCATGATCGTAGGATTCAATATCGGCCATCCATTCGACCACTCCCTATTCGCCCCTGATCTCACACCTATTTACGGGTCATGCCACTCCAGAAAATCTATAAATAGAGCCCTCATTCTTCACAAGAGGGGGGCCAAGGCAAGAAGAGAAGAGGAGAAGAGGAGGAAGACTATTCTGAAATTTAACTTAATCGAGTAATTTTTATGGGGTTTTGTTTTAATAATAATAATATTTTTTTGAAAATTTACATACACACCACTTTATATTATGATATTTACATATATAACATTTAAAATTTTAATATTATATTTCTACGGTTCATATAAAATTTTGATATCAAATATATAACTTATATATTTATTTTTATCATCCATATCATCTTATGAATTTTAATATTTCATTATATATACTTATATTTATTATATAGATAATATAGATATAATATCTAACATTGATATCTAAATAATATGAAATAAAATGATATGCATAAAAATCCTTTTTTTATTATTTTTTAATGTGATGACGGAAATCATAAAGTATAATGGGTGGAATGCTCGGCGCGCAAGTACGGTCTTCTGTGGTTGGAGGTAAAAGCCATATCGCTTTCCCCCAGTGTAAGCGGTTTGACCCTCGGACTGCGAGAAAGATGTTTTCAGTCGCGATTTCTGGCGGTGGTGGGATTGTAGCTGGCGCGGGGTTATCGATCAAAGGTAGGGTTTCTGTGGGGTATTGTGCCATTCGTGAGAGGGGATTAGATCATAAGCCGGCTTTATTAATGCCCGTAAAGAGATTTTGCTGCGGGGCGACGCGGATTGGATTGCTCGAGATGGGATTAACTCGGATGAAGACGGGGATGGAGAGTGTCTTGAGGCCGAGTGGGAAAGCTGGATCAATACGTGCTTCCGCTGCTGGTCCGTTTTTTTTTTCTTTTTGAGGTTTTGTGCTTGTTTTCAGTTACATGGTATATCACGCTTTCACAGGTGATTGCACTCGATTGTGGCTTTTTGGTTGGAATGAACTACGAAAATATGATGTCTTCTGTAATGCTGTGCTTTGATTACGGTTCTGATTTCATTAATTACGATCATCTTATTTAATTGACACTGGCCGTTTACTTTTTAAGGAATTGCTCCTTAAGATTCGTTGTAGTTGGCGAATTTTGTTGACAATCAAAGCAAGACACAAATGAGATCTTTTTTAACGCATGGTGTTTGTAGGTTAGCGTCAACCCTTTTTTTAAGTTAGTTTTGATGTGAGAAAATTGTGCTGAATGTCGTGGGTTGTGTCTACATAGGATTGCCTGGATGATTGTTGCAGTTTTCCAGTATGATTGGTTCAACTTAATTATTGGTACTTGTTGCAATGTTAGGGGGATTTACATACATAACACTTAATTCTATCCCATTTACACATTTAGCATCAAAAACTTTCTATTTACTCATATAATCCGCACAATCCATAAAATAAAATACAGGGAATGAAATGGGTGCGTGGAGATTGGGACTCGTGGGTGCATGTGTAGGAGCACCTACGACAGCAGGTTGTGCCCCGACATTTTGGGATGACAATTTAATAGATGGTGGTGGTTTAGTGAATAGAAAGTCTTATATGTTAAAAATGTAAATAGAATAGACTTACGTGTCATACATGTAAATTCCCCGTAATGTTTTAGCATATGTTAACCTACAATTAACTAGAGCTTAAGATCTATGAATCAACAATTCAATTTTTGCCTTTAAACATAAATAGCCCTTGCAGGTTGCAACTTATTAACACAGTTATGATTTATGTGGAACTCATTAGCAAAATAGTTGTCTTTGAAGCTTTTCTCTTATATGTTTGAAACAGTTAACCATTAATACTGAATTAATGGGTGCAAAGAAGTTTTGAAACTATGATGTTTCAGTATATTAGGATATGAGATTTTACCTTTTGAATAATGAACAGGTTTAACCTGCTTACTCTGGTTAGATAAAATAGCTTAATATAAATGTGTGTGAATACATCAGTGACAAGTAAGGTACTGGATGAGATTTTTCTTCTGTCAACAACAACAACAACATCAAGCATTTATCCCACTACTTGGGGTTGGCGACATGAAGGGACTGGATGAGATTTTGCTTCTTCTGCTAAAAGAAAATTGCTTGGATACTTATATCAAAATTTAAAATGTAGCGCAATGTGCGGTGAACTCATACGGAGAACCTTAGAACTACCATCTTTTAGTGGTTTTGTATGAGAGAGTAAACACATCATAATTGATGTCATTCATTTGACAGTGCAATCATAATATGCTTAAAATACTTTTTTGAATTAAATTTTAATCATTGGTTTGCTTTTAATCTCATCTTTCACTGTCTTTCACTATTACATGGTAGCTTTAGACAACCTTCTAAATTCGTGCATTTCATGCCATTCTTTGGATCAATATCAGGGTATTTCTTGGAGGAAGCAGGAAAATTAGAAGTTTTTACATTTGATTGTACTTCTTTATTTTTCCCATTGTATACCTATCATACTCTTGATGTACTACTTGAAAATTTATTCTGAAGTAGGGTGGAAACTGATCGCATTTCAGGTGATCTTGAGGATAACCCTTCTATTAAACTAAAAGAGAAATCTTCTGGTACAGTTTTGCCATATGTTGGTATTGCTTGCTTGGGTGCAATTTTGTTCGGATATCACCTTGGGTATGTTCCTAAAACTAGTGGTGATATATCACCTTTCATACTGTGTTTTCCATAGAAATTTGACACAGAGCAATGAAGGATTCTTCCATTTAATTTATTTCATTGTTCTTAACCTCACAATTAAATATTTCTTCATCAAGAAAGAAAAATTATCCCCTAATGCTAATGATGTTGATATGAAACTTGCAAGCCATGAACTTTTGGAGTATGAAAATATTTCTATTATGATTGGAACATAATAAATGTTTTATTATCCTACTTTAATTTCTATTATTCTCAGGGTTGTGAATGGCGCCCTTGAATATCTTTCTCAAGATCTTCTTATTACTGAAAATGCTGTCCTACAAGGTATCAACTTTATAGTAATTTTAGGAAACTTAATGTTTGGTTTAATAAACTTGGAATTAATGAACAATAACTTCTTTCTCATTATTAGAGAAAATCTTTTGAAATGGATCTTCATATATTTTATGAATCTAAAATTTCTACTAGGAGTTACAGTAGTGTTTGTAATCTAGCTCATCTTATCATATGAAAGCCCAATATGGTATAGGATATCTTTGATGAATTTGAAAGGTTTAATGTTCATATATTAGTCACATTCTTTGGTACAGGTTGGGTAGTTAGCATGCTACTTGCTGGAGCTACGGTTGGTTCTTTCACTGGCGGAGCATTGGCTGATAAATTTGGCCGAACAAAAACTTTTAAGCTTGATGCAATTCCACTAGTAGTTGGTGCTTTTCTCAGGTTTTGTTTCAGCATCCTGTAATTGCAATATTAATAAGCGTAGACTTAATGCGTTCGTAGTGTCTCATTTTTTTGTGAAGACTATTACAGTACTACTGCTCAGAGCGTAGAAGCAATGTTGATTGGTCGATTACTTGCTGGTATTGGGATTGGTATCACTTCAGCAGTCGTTCCACTTTACATATCAGAGGTGTTTGGAACAAGAGATTAATAGGCTTTTTAAGTATGTCTCTGTAGCTAAAGGAAGGTCTTTATTGTTGAATATTTTCATATATTCAGATATCTCCAACTGAAATTCGCGGGGCACTTGGATCTGTTAACCAGCTTTTCATTTGTATTGGAATTCTTGCTGCTCTCGTAGTTGGACTTCCATTATCAGGAAACCCTATATGGTATGCATCTCTAACTTTATATTTCTAAGTTATATTTTTTCAAGTATCTATCATTATACATGTTTTGTTCAAAATGCAATGTGTCTATACTGAGTGGTCATTTGCTATTACAGACAGCGCACCAAGCTTTTTCATTATAAGAGATCCACGCACAATTAATATTTAATATTTAATATTTTTAAGGAGAATTCCTATGACATCACTAATCACCATTAATATAAAAGGAGATCCTGAATTCCTCAAGTTTCTCACTATCTTTCTTGATCATTCAACAACCTAATGTGCGAGAATAGTTATAAATATTATTCACTAGGTCTTAGGCAAGATTCTATCACCCGGAAACTATAGGTGGGCTGGGTTTTTGCTTGTCATGTTTTATCATTTGATTTATCATTCGTCTTACACCTTGATTTCCCTCACTTCATAAGTAGGGTACTTATTGTTGGGAATTGTTGGCAATGAGTAGGAAGAAAAGTTTTACTTTCCTATGCTTGCCTCAAATAGAATGAGTTATTCTAGTTTTTGTTAACATTTAAATGATGGACCTTAGAGGATTGAGAGGGAGAGATTAGTTGGTTCAACTATTATAAGGATGGTATCGGGAGATGTGAACTAAATAGGTCAAGTGGAATTTTTTGGAAGTTAGGACTTCTTTTTATTTTTTGTTCATTTTATTGATTGTTTCTAGATGGTATAAAAAAATGATGATCCCCCAAAGATGAGTTACATGATGCTTATAAATTTTTTATAAGATGGCGTGTGTAGAGGTAGGCTTTCATTCGTGGTTCCTTGGGAACTCAAAATTAACAGAGATTGTGTAAAACATCATTATGAAGCTTTAATTAAACTAAAGCACTATTTTTATATGTCAAAATAAAATTTTAAATTGGAGAAAATTATTGCTTTTTCAAATTCACCCTACAAAAAATTTCTAAAATATATTCAAAATGTTCATAATATTAATTTCTATAACATATAAAAAGTTGCATGGTAAAAATTTTACGTTATTCTTATTTTGTGGTAACAAAAATACAAATTTAATCGGAAAAATCTCAAAAATATCAAATAATTGAAATAGGCTAAACTTGATCTACATTAAGACATAAATTTCTCAACTTGGCCAATGGACAAAAACTGCTCTACGACCGTCAAACCCTAGCTTTTCTTCTTCTCTCTCCTCTTTTTCTCTTAAATTTCCAAAAGTATTCTCTATTGCTAGAAATTAAATAGGGGAAATAGAATTTAATAGAAATTTGATAATAGATTAGGATTTATATAATATAATAATATATATAATATATTAATAGGTAAAATAGTAATTATGCCATTTAAATACAAATATCATATAAATTCCTTTATATTTTCAAATTCAGAGATCCAAAAATGACGAGAAAATATTCAAAAGTTAGCTAAACATGTTTAAAATGATCAGGTGAAATCAGTTTGTAAAATAGACATCTAACAATCCCAAAAAGGCTAATTGTACCAATCTATGTCAATTTCTTAAGGAATTGTACCGATGTTCAAAAATTATGAAAAATTTAGTGAAACTAAAACACAACAATATATATGTTTTGGCGAAGACGGTTTGTGATTGAGACTTATAATAACTCTCAAAATATTTTTTTACTATTATATGTAAAAATAGCTTTTATAAATTTTTGAGTTACCCTCGACATTCTCAGATCAAAATAAGTCAGAATAAATCTGGATATAACTGTTTTGTCTCAGATTCTTTCTCCCAAGTAGTCTCTATTACATTCATGTGCTTCCAGTGCACCTTGACCATCAGAATCTATTTACTCAATTTTCTAATATCGTACGCTAGAATCCTATCTAACACTTCCCTATAGTGTAGCCTCGGATGAACCTCAACATCATCATAAGATAATATCTTCCCATAATCAGATATTTACTTTCTCCTAGAAGATATATGAAATACACTATGTATATCTGACAACAACAACAACAACAACATTAAGCCTTTGTCCCACTACGTAGGGTTGGCTACATGAATCCTTTATGTATATCTGACATATGATCGGATAATATAAACCTATGAGCAGAACTACCAATCCTTTCAACAATCCTAAAAGGTCCAATGTATATTGGACTCAACTTACTGATTCTTCCAAATTTGCTGACATTTTTCATCGAACAGACTTGGACATAAACAAAATACCAACCTGAAATTTTACTAGCTTGTTTTTTTTCTTAATATTTTTTTCTACCTATCGTATGCGACGCTCAATTTTTCTCTGAATCGATGAATTTTTGTTGTAGTGTCATCCATAAAAGTATATCATATCACCTATCTATCCTCCACCTCTATCAAAGACAAAGGGGTTCTGTATTTTCTCCTGTACAGAACTTCGTAAGGAGCCATACCTATGCTGGATTGATAACTATTATTATATGCAAACTTTACTAGTGAGATATGATCCTCCTAACTGCTGCCAAAATCCAGAACATAGAGTCTCAAAAGATCCTCCAATACTTGAATTGTCTTTTCGGACTGCCCGTCTGTCTGAGGATATAAAGTCGTACTAAAGTACAATTTTGTACCAAGCCCCTGCTAAATGCCTCTTCATAATCTTGAGGTAAATCGATCGTCACAATCGAATACAATCACCTTCGGCACACCATGTAATATGATAATATCCCTGACATATTTCTTTGCTAACTTGTCAATTGGATCAATCTGTCGATTTGAAATGAAATGTGCTGACTTTGTCAGTCGATCAACTATAACCCATGTGACATCATGTCCCTGCCTCGATCTGAAAAAATCCATAGCAAAATCCATTGTCACCTCCTATTTCCATTCAGAGATAGGTAACGACTACAAAAGATCGCCTAATTGTTGCCACCAAAATATTCCTACATCTTGCTACTTCTTGGATGAATAGTATAACTTGAATAATGTGTCTCATGTAGAATCTCAGCTCTCAGATCACCAACCGATGGAACCCATAATCTATCATTGCAAAAAAATGACTCCATAATCATATATTAAAAGTTTAAGTGTCTTACCAGCCTTAATCTTATTACTCAACTTTAGATACTCTATATCTGATTTTTGAGCTTCATGAATTCTTTCATGCAAAGTACATTGAATAATCATCTAAGCTAACAAACTCGAATTTGTATTAACAAATATCATATATATTTCTAACTTATCCAAATCTCGAATAAGAATTAAAGAAGTAAGCAACGAAATAGAAATATATGATGACTTCCTACTCGAAGCATCTGCTACTACATTTGTCTTATCAAGCTGAATATGAATAGACAAATCATGATCCTTGATCAACTCTAACCACCTTCTCTGCCTCAAATTCAGATTCTTCTCAATAAAAATATACTTCAAGTTCTGATAGTCAGTTAAGATCTCGCATCTGACTCCGTATAAATAATGCCTCCAAATCTTTAATGCAAATGCAACAGCAGCTAACTCTAGATCATGTATCGGGTATTTCCTCTCATGTGGTTTTAATTGTCGAGCCACATATGCAATAACTATACCGTACTGCATCGGTATGTATCCCAAACCTATCAATGATGCATCACTGAAAACCTGAAAATCATATGTACATGAAGGAATGGTCAGAATCACAACAAATTTCAACCGATCCGTCAACAGCTAAAAACTCTCCTCACACTCTGCAGTCCATATGAAAGATACTAACTGCTAAGTTAGTCTCGTCAAAGGCAAAATAATCTAAGAAAACTCTTGGCCATATTGTGGATTAATAATGAAAAAATATTGAAATTTACCTAGGATTTAGTGAGTGAGCTAAACAATGTAAATGATGCAAGCAAAAATTTGGGAGAGGGCCCCAAATTTTTGCTAACAAAAGAAACTCTTGCTAGATAATAGAAGATTACAATATCTCACAAAAACTAAACGAATTAGACAAAAAACAAACTTTTTATATCATAAAGACTCTTACAAGATGCTTACAATCGACACTTAGAAAAGGACTTACAAACTTAAGAAATAAAGACTTAAACTAGACGACACCCTAAAATTGCTGCACTTGGAGAAGAAAGATACAGATGGAGTGGCACTTGCGGAGAGACGAAGAGATTAGAAGCCAAGAAGAAGGGTGGAAAGAGCCCGCAGGATTTCCGGAGGGGATGAGAAAGAAGGGTGGAAAGAGCCCGCAGGATTTCCAAGCAACCCGCAGGTTAACAAAGATTTTTTTCCAAAAATCACAGATCGCATTCACTTTTTATTTCATCACAAAACATCTCATATATAGGCAATAGGGGAGAAACTTAACAGCCCAAAACCCCCTCAAATCCCATATAAAAATAATAGAAATGAAAGGCCAAAAGTCACCTTGCATGATATCCCAAGAGTCACTGCCATTTCCAAGCAGAACAAGGCCACGAAACCAGCCAAATACAAAGCCAATGCCACGGTTTCAACACAGGAAATCAGGAGTTTTTTTGTTATAGAAATCCCAAACGGCACAACAATTCTCAAGGAGGAGGTCACGGTTTCAATAGCCAAGCACAGGAATCCAACATGTAATTCACAGTTTTCAGCAACCAAACAGCCACCACTTTTAATGAGAGAAAGGGGACCACGGGACAGAGAAACCGAAGCAATTCATGGGAGGAAAACCAGCAGAAAACCGCAGCAGCTCAAGAGGTAACAGGAAGTGGAAAAGGCAAGTTTCACTCACCCAAAAGCTTGCACACTTCAATTTTAATTTCATAACTAAACATTAGCTCATAATAAGCTAATCTTTCACTAGACATTAATGAGCTAGGGAAGTCAAAAATCAAATATTATGATTTGATTTGACCCCCCTTTGCCTACATCAAACTCCCCTTCTTGCAAACTCAGCTCCTGATGAGTTGGTTGTTGATTCCCTTGAGGAGGTGAATAGTGCTCATCCAGTTCTTTGAGTTTCTCTCCAAATCTCTTCAAAATTTCTTCCTGATTCTTTTCAAATTGTTGTTGTAGATATCTTTTGTACTTTTCGAAT